CTTCGACAACTTTTTTCATGCGCAGATTGACTAGGCTTTGACATTGCAAAGTAAAGCATGTCGTTACATAAAAACAAGCAATATGTTCGTCGTTAAAATCTGCTGAATATGGAAAGTATACGTCGCAAACTGAAGCATGCTCGAAAACCCTATGACATGATAGATTTTCCACTTGACAAAGCAGTGTGAAGACATTTCGATAAATAATCCGTGTATCTCTTCAGCTTGCATCATGGAGCAGCATACCATGGATATCATTGTGGCTGGCACATGGTTTGCAATATTAATCTATGCAGTGATCGCAAATATTCTACTAGCTATACTTATCGTTAGTAGCACCGAAACACGTACACTTACCAGGTAGGAGCCAACTTATCTTGTATCTTTACTAATAGGTAATTCAGCTATTGGATTGTTGGTTCCTTTTCCCTGAGTGAAGTAGGCATGGCAATGACTGCTTTATTTCATGTGGTACCATTTGTTTTACTACATGAAGCATTTTCCAAAAACGAGTCGACCAGTGATTTTTTGATGCTATCAGGCTATCACTCATTCTGGGCTGTATCCCTCATGCACCTAGTTCTGATGGCTTTGAACAGGTTAGCGATAAGGTATACTTTCTCTTGCCGCTAATAAGCTGTTTTCAGAGTTGCATGTATTCTTTACCCCACATATTACTCAACAATCTTCTCTAAAACAAACACTGTCTGTTTATTACTTCTTTGCTACTTTTTGGGGCCTATACTTTCTATTCCGACTCTTTTTCCTTGTTGCTATATACTTCTGGATTCTTATAATTATGTATCTTACTATATTGACCAAGAATCATGGTAGGCACGAACTTAGGCCCATATGCATCAACACACCCTAGGGCAGGGGGAGCGATGTCCCCGATGATGAAAAGGCGGCAACGTCATCCATGCAACCCCTTCATAACGGCGGACGTTCCCCTTGCCGCAGGGATGTCAGTGCATATAGGCCTTAGACTTGTGTTCCCATAGATAAGCATAGTAGAAAGAGCATAGTTTGTATAGACTGGAATGGGTAGTATTATGAAGGCCCGCAAAAACCAAATCTATTTTCCTCTTTTTCTCTGACAAAGAATTCACCAATTCTCCTGTCTGTAGCTAGACACTTGCCACAACGGACAACTTCAGTATGCCGAGAATGAAGCGACAGTCGAACTCAAA